AAGAGGTGACAAGAATACACAGAAGAACTATACAAAAAAGATCTTCATGACCCAAATAATCATGATGGTGTGATCACTCACCTAGAGCCAGACATCCTGGAATGTGAAGTCAAGTGGGCCTTAGGAAGCATCACTACGAACAAAGTAGTGGAGGTGATGGAATTCCAGTTGAGCTATTTCAAATCCTAAAAGATGATGCTGTGAAAGTGCTGCACTCAATATGCCAGCAAATTTGGAAAACTCAGCAGTGGCCACAGGACTGGAAAATGTTAGTTTTCATTCCAATCCCAAAGAAAGGCAATGCCAAAGAAAGCTCAAACTACTGCACAATTGCACTCATCTCACACGCTAGCAAAGTAGTGCTCAACATTCTCCAAACCAGGCTTCAGCAATATGTGAACTTCCAGATGTTCAAGCTGGATTTTGAAAAGGCAGAGAAACCAGAGATCAAATTGCCAACATCTGTTGGATCATCGAAAAAGCAAGAGAGTTCCAGAAAAACATGACTTCTGCTTTACTGACTATGCCAAAGCCTTTGACTGTGTGGATCACAACAAACTGTGGAAAATTCTTCAAGAGGTGGGAATTTCTTAAAGAGATGGGAAGAGACCAGACCACCTTAACTGCCTCCTGAGAAATCTGTATGCAGGTCAGGAAGCAACAGTTAGAACTGGACATGGAGCAACACACTGGTTCCAAATCGGCAAGGAGTACATCAAGGCTGTATATTGTCACCCCGCTTATTTAACTTATACGCAGAGTACATCATGAGAAACACTGGGCTGGATGAAGCACAAGCTGAAATCAGGATTGCCAGGAGACATATCAATAACCTCAGATATGCAGATGGCACCACACTTATGGCAGAAAGCGAGGAAGAACTAAAGATGATGAAAGTGAAAGAGGAGCATGAAAAAGTTGGCTTAAAACTCAACGTTCAGAAAACTAAGATCATGGCATCTGGTCCCATCACTCCATGGCAAATAGATGGGGAAACGGTGGAAACAGTGAGAGACTTTATTTTTGGGGGCTCCAAAATCACTGCAGATGGTGACTGCAGCCTTGAAATTACAAGACACTTGCTCCTTGGAAGAAAAGTTATCACCAACCTAGACAGCATATTAAAAAGCAGAGACATTACTTTGCCAACAAAGGTCCATCTAGTCAAAGCTATGGTTTTTCCAGTAGTCATGTATGGATGTGAGAGTTGGACCATAAAGAAGGTTGAATGCTGAAGAACTGTGGTGTTGAAGAAGACTCTTGAAAGTTCCTTGGACAGCAAGAAGATCCAACCAGTCCATCCTAAAGGAAATCAGTCCTGAATATTCATTGGAAAGACTGATGATGAAGCTGAAACTTCAATACTTTGGCTACCTGATGTGGAGAACTGACTCATTTGAAAAAACCCTAATGCTGGGAAAGATTGAAGGCAGGAGGAGAGGGGTACCACAGAGGATGAGATGGTTGGATGGCATCACTGACTCAATGGACATGAGTTTGAGTAAATTCCGGGAGTTGGTGATGGACAGGGAGGCCTGGCGTGCTGCAGTCCATGGGGTCACAAAGAGTCAGACACGACTGAGCGACTGAACTGAACTGTCGCCCTTTGCTTCTTCATCTGTGAAAAGTGGATAGCTTTAGTGCCAACCTTTAGGGTGGCCATGAGAATTAAATAAGTTCAAATTTGTAGACCAGTTATGCAATGCCTGATCACATGAGTACTATGTGAATGTTTGAAGAAGACAATAAGATAAATAAAAAAGAGAAGAATTATTATAATGTGGAAGGAAGCAGTAAGCAGGGTGCCCAAGACATCATGGGCATCCCACTGGGAGTTCTCCCTAAATCAGAGCAATACAGACATGGCGGCTCCTGCACATTTACAGAGTAAGCACAAATGGAGGCTGTTTTGTGTAAATTCTCATCACATTATTGACTTGTCTTCTGTTGATCACTCTTTACTTCTTCTCTCCCTCTCTCACTGTCTTCGCCTCCTATTCCGTGATGATGGAAAAACCAGCCACAGAATATGAAATAAAATTTCAGTTCAGAAGTGCAAACATTTTTGAAAGAACATTTCAAAGGAAAAAGACAACCTTGGGTCTCTAATTAATTTTATCACCACTGTGAACATATCAAAGAAGCGTTTCATTTTTTGTGTTTTCCTTTAGGAAGCTTTGCCAAGTTAAGAAAATTTTTAAAAAATAAGAATCAAAGTAACCTCAATATAGTTTTAAAGTATAGGGCATTTCTTAAAGAATTGCAAAGAACAAACAAGTGTTCTCTAATTATGCTCCAATGAATTTTAGAAACTTGCTGAAAATTCCCTTGCTCTTGTATTTGTTTGCCTGTCTCCTTTGGGTATTTTGCATGTGTGTATCCATATATAAGAGTTCTCTTTTTGACAGACACCCACGCCCACATGCCCCAGAAATGCTATTTGAGTATTTATCTAAATAGATGAGTACTTATTGAAAATAAAAATGTTCTGACCAAAACAGCAGCACAGAGAAAAGGATTTCATCCACTGAGAGCAAAGGAGAAAAAATAAATTTAAAAAATAGGATTTGGACCAATAATTTGTATATACGCAATAAATGTCAAATCTAACATTAGAAATGTAATGAATTTGAGTATGATACATTTTTGCACTTAGAATTTTAATTGATTTTTTACGTGCATAATGACTATTCATATAAAAGAAAATAAAGATAAAGCAAAACAATGTTTATTAAAAATCAGAATAACCATTTTGGTGGAGTTATGATTAGAAATATGGTCCCAAATTACCTAAAGGAAAAGGGCCAAAAGCCTTCAAAAATATCTTGGTTCTATTTCTTAAACCAAACAATGAGGAGTCTTAGATGAAACAAAGACAGCCCCAAACCAGGAGTCAGGAAACCTGCCTCTAACAAGCTACCTATGATTGGATAACTTGTGTGACTTTGGGCCCGAATTTCCTCACCTATCAAGAAATACAGTTGGACTAAAGGACTCCACAGAATCTGAGGACACAGTCATTCCTATTCTAAGTCTATGGATATGATCCTCTGTTATAGCTGTCATCTGATTCTGGGACCCATGCAAGTCTCCTTTTCTTTGCTTTTCTTAAAGGTTTTTGTTTTTTTTTTTTTTTAATGTGGACCATTTTTAAAGCCTTTATTGAATTTCTTACAATCTTGCTTGTTTTTATGTTTAGTTTTTTGGCTATGAGGCATGTGGAATCTTAGCTCCCTTAACAGGGATTGAACCTGCACCCCCTGCATTGGAAGGTGAAGCGTTACCACAGCACCACCAGGGAAGTCCCAATCCTTTTTCCCTTAACTATACTGAAGAATTCCTTCAATGTTTATGGTAACATACTTTCAAAGCAAGCCTTCTTAATCAAGGGGGTTGGGGTGCCTGTTCCCACACTAGGTCACCTTCCCAATGACGTTCATAGGGCAGAGTAGGTAAGAAGAGTGAAGGACCTGAGACTCTATTAAGGGTCTAGGATTGTGCCCTGTTTAGCAGCCCTTATCCTACCCAGCTGCTGTTATTTAATAAGAGGGCAGATAAATCCCCATGCTAAGGATCTGATCATGTGTATTGAATAAGATGCACTAATACATTTCTTTCTTTTTTCCCAATGGTCAAAATCCAATTTCTATGCAAATGCTTTTGGGTCATAACATTCCTATTTTTAACAGGTATAAATCTACTTTAACAGGAAGATTTGGAATTGCTGTTATAAATGACACAAAACTCCTCCAGAGCAGAAGTGGCTTATCTCATTCTTAGGTGCTGAGACTGGCAGGGCTTCAAGGCATTTGTTCTCCAAGGATGGGCGCAATCCACGGAAACGGAGGCAAATCTCTAGTCCATGTCTTAACGCCCCAGGAAGGAGCGGGAAGGAGAGCTTGGTGCTCCGAGTTCAGAATCCCTCTCAGTTCATCGTGAATTGACCTACTCAATGTTATTTATTAGAAGAAATACTTCAATTGGCCACTGTTTTTATGTGGAGGGAAGTTGGCTTTCTTTAGATTCCTATAGGTCAGACAAGCCCTTGTCATTAAAAACCACAAATCCCACGGTGTATGGACAGCCTGTCCCCATATTTCTTCAGATCTCCCCTTGGGTGACAAGAGAGGTTTCTCAGATTGCCCCATACAAACATAGACCCATTGCCCTGCTTTTTCTCCCTATGTTAATCTTCTATGCATATTTGATATTTTTGTACATGTATTTATCGTCTATCTACTCCACTAAAAAATAAACTTCCTAAGGATGTTGAGTATGTTTTGTTCACTCTACATTTCCAGTGCGAACAACACGCATTGTAGGTGCTCAGAAAATTATCCATTTGATGAATAAATGTCAGAAACCCTTCAGGTGGGAGACTTCCCCAACAGTCCAGTGATTAAGACTCTGCCTTCCAATGCAGGGGGAGTGGGTTTGATCCCTGGTCAGGGGTGTGGCCAAAAAAATAAAAATAAAAATAAAAATATAGATAACCAACAAGGACTTACTGTAAATAAATAAATAAATAATTTAAAAAGGGAAAAAAAATCCTCCAAGGGAATAAAGAATAGTTAAGGATAGTAAGAAATAATTTAAGAGTAAGCATAAACCACCACATTTGCCCAAGGCAGAATAGGGGTAACTTTTTAACACACAGCAGTATCAGTCACATCATCACCAAATGCTCTCACAGTTTAACCTCCATGCCCAGAGAGAGGCACTTCTGATGTAACACTTTATGATTCTTTTTCCTTCATTTACCATCAAAATGCACAGTTGAATGTCCAATTCTCTTTCTTTTCTTTTGAAAGAAGGGAGACACCTCTCTCTGTATTGCCTTTAGTGAAGGCTTCTCCACGCATCACATTTTACAATGAAAATGCCTTATATAGGCCTACTCTTGACTCCGGCTACCAGAGTTTCTCAGAAAGGAAGGTATCTCCCTAAGCTGCCTTTGCAGAATGAAGGAACTCATGTCAACAGGTGGCTGGGGCACTTACTGCCAGAGCAGGAGGCTTCTTTAGGGCTGGAAGACATCGGCTGTGCGCAGAGTTGGCAAAGGCAGTCTCTCCCATTGAACGTGACTCGGTCTCCGGGTGGAAACGGGCGCCTGGAAAGACATTGCCCTCAGGGTTATTGTGGTAATTTTATCCCTTTCCCTCACTCCTCTGCTTCGCTGCCCTCCAGTGCCGATTCATTACTTGGAGGAGCACCAGCCAAAATGTCTGCAATGCAGTCTGAATCAAGCCGGCCAGCTGGATCCAGTCCAAACAAACAAACGTGCCTCATTTTAAGAGGAAAGGAGAATGCACAGCTTCTACAGGCAACCAGATAGTAAAATGAAACCATTTACCTCCACTCCTTAGTGGAGGGATGTTCCAGCAAGTCACCTAGCAGGGCACACACAGTAAAATTTCCCATTTCCAAATTGATATACTGCCATGAAGAAATGTTTGAAATGCTATGAATTCCTATTCAAGCTTAAGGCACCTCCAGTTCTCAAAGAGAACTGGTCATACAGGGCAAACATTAATTCTTCACATTCCCTAGATCTATATGATAACGATGCTGAATTAGACATTGTCTTGCAATGGGAAAACTGAATACCTCCCAATTCTAGGGACTCAGTCCCTTATAAACCTGGATTAAATATGAAAATGCTGTAAATATCTGTTTAAGAATTAGTATTCACTTCCTTTCAGAGATTATTTCCCTTCACATTAGTGAAAATGAAAGTTGCTCAGTCTTGTCTGACTCTTTGTGACACCATAGACTATACAGTCCATGGAGTTCTCCAGGCCAGAATACCGGAGTGGGTAGCCTTTCCCTTCTTCAGGGGATCTTCCCAACCCAGGAATCGAACTGGGATCTCCTGCATTGCAGGTGGATTCTTTACCAACTGTGCTATCATATCTGCTTAAAAATTAGTATTCGCTTCCTTTCAGAGACTATTTCCTTTCAAAGTAGACATTCATCAATAAATAACAGCACATTTTTTTCAAAAACATTGCCTTCTGCAGGTATGTTTCTTCTCCTCCCAGCAGGCAGATGGCTTTAAAAAAATAAGTCATTAATTAATAGCCATATGACAGTTTCCATGCCTGCTCACTTGCCACTGGCCAGTTTGCCAATGATCTTCAACATGAATTTTCATATGTGTGATTCTGTCAATTAGGAAATTTAAAATTCATAAGCCAAACATCCCCACCCATCTGAGTCAGAAGCAGGCTCCAGTTCAGGCTTCTGGACATGAATTTTATGTTCACAGGTACTTTAAGTTGCCCTTCATCACCTAACAGTTGGTGATTCACCGTCCTGCACACGCAGGCAGTAAATCTGGGTTTAAAACAACTCCACAATTGTACTTGCTGCCAGTCATCGAGGAGAGTTTTAAACCACACCCCCAAATTTAAGAAGTGCTGGGTTGAGGCGGTCTCCTGGGGCCGTGTTATTTTCCATCGCTCAGATAAAGCCCAGAGAGGGTAATGGATTGACCAACTAGAGAGACCATGCCACAGGCAGAGGTGGGTGGTGTCCACCAACCCAGAACTTGCTCTCTCTTCAACAATCAAGGTCACACTCTGGTGGGTGCCAGCCAGCCTATCAATTCATACTCATCAGTTAAAGCCAAACAAACCTCCAGCCTCCCCTGTAACAAGGCCATCAGGAAGTGAAGGGTCTGTCGACATAATAAGCACAGTTTCTTTGCCTCTGATCAGGGCCAGGGCCAGGAGGAGGCCAGTGAGGCACTCAGGATACAGCATCTAAGGAGGTCCCCACTCTCAGGAGGACCGCATGACCTGGGAGTGAGCACCCCCTTTAAAGTGTGTGCCCAGGCACCTCCCTGGCCTCACCCTAGTCCAGACCCTGTGTCTGATTTAGGCTTATATTTCTAGACTTCAACCCCACAAAGATCCACTATGGAACAAATTAGAGTCCAGTTCTCAACAAGGGGCAAGGTGCTCTGAATTTTGAATTCTGTTATTTCAAAAATTGACCCCTTTCATTTCCCTAAGTCCTCGGCCTACATGGGTTCACTTCCTTCTGTTATTTGCATGAATGTTTGTGATAGAAAGAGAATTGGATTTAAGAGTCTGAACACGTGAGTTCAAATATTGGCCTTGTGATGTGAAGGACTGGGAAAATCCTGTAGACTCGGGGTCTCAAAGTCACTCATAAGTAGGGATAGGAATTTCTGATTGACCTCACAGAATTGTTGAAAGGGTTAGATTAATTTCTACATGAATGCAATTTGTAAGCTGTAAAGGTGGCCTCCCTTTCAGGAAGAATTGGTGTCATTAGCCGGCACCAGCAGCTTAGGGCATCAGTAACAGGCACCTCTCTGTTGGATAGAGATGATGGATAGAGATGATGAATGTTTGTCCATCATTACCAACCTGAAGCAATGATCTCTCGAGGCCAGGATCAAGAAGGCTCCTAGAGTTTACCTGGGCCAGGGCCTTCTAACCTGTTATTCTTTATTTTTAATTGGAGGATAATTGCTCCACGATTTTGTGCTGGCTTCTGCCACAGAATCACGCCAGTCAGCCACAAGCATACATATGTCCCCTCCCTCTTGAACCTGCCCCCACGGACACCCCATCCCACCCCTCTAGGCTGTCACAGAGAACCCCATTGAGCTCCTTGTGTTATACATAGAAATGGATATTTTTAAAAAGACCCTTCCTAAGCTCCAACCTGGTGATCTGTGACAACCTAGAGGGGTGGGGTGAGCTGGAGTCGGGGGTAGGAGGGAGGTTCAAGAGAGAGGGGACATATGTGTACTTATGCCGGATTTGAGTTGCTGTATAACAGAAACCAACAGAACATTGTGAAGCAATCATCCTCTAATTAAGAAAAGAGAAAAAGAGACACTCCCGTGGGGATTCCAGTGACTACCCAGGTTTGGGGAATCACTTTTATTTAGCCCACAGCCTCTCATCTTACAGACAACTGCCGTAGAAGAGTTAGCTCACAGACGTCTCAAACCAGCCCAGGAAAGAGGACCAGAAACAGGGCTTCCCGAACACCAGCCCAGGGTTCTCAACCAGACTGTGGGCGGCAGCTTGAAAAGGGAGAGGTCAAAAGGACACTTTGCTGTTGATTAAATACAGAAAAAATTTCAGCTCATTAACCCAGAACTTTAAAATTATGACTTAAAAATATATAATTGAGAAATGACCTAATAGCTACAAAAAGTTACTAAAATAATTTGATTATGAATACTTCATCTAAATCTTATTATGATTCATCCATGAGTATTATCCTGTTAATTAACTGTATAAAATCAAATTTACCCTTCTAGAGTTTACATTTCTCTGGCCTAAAAACAGGAAATGCTAAAAAATAAAATGAACTGAACTACAGTTTTTACAAAGGCATAGCAAAATTGAACACATATGATCAACATGATACCAAAAGGCATGGAATTACTCTATAAATATGGGTCAACTAATTAAATTCCCTCTTCTCTCTGATTGACCATTTTAATCAAGCTGCTTTGTGCAATAAAGATTTAACCTTTACTGATGATAGGTGCCTAGAGAGGAGGGGTTGACAGCTTTTCCCCTGAAAGATCAGATTGTAAGTATTTTTTTAGACTGTGCAGATCATAAGGTTTCTATCTCAACTACTCAACTCGACCACTGTCGCTTGGAAGCAGTCATAGACAATATATAAACAAATGGGCATGGCTGTGTTCTAATATAACTTTATTTACAAAACAGGTCTAATTTGATCCTTGAGGCCGTTAGCTCTCCCTGGCTATAGAGCAAATGAGATAATTTTACACACCCACACCCATACACGTAAGAGCTGATACTTCCAAATAAGCTTCATCATTCCAAGTATTTATGCCATCTTCTCCCGTGTTTCCACTGCTCGAAATGTCTCAAGACCTGGAGCTGCTTTCAGATTTGGCTCCCACTTAAAATCAGTCACACTATTTAGTGGAGGACATTCCATATAAAGCTTCCTAACTAAATTACTTTTTAACTAAGCCTGATAATACAGTAGGAGAAGAAGAACATCTAAAGGCACATCAGGAAAAAATATATAAAGACAAATATGCGGCATCACTTATATGTGGAATCTAAAAAAAAAAATGATACAAATGAATTTATTTACAAAAACAGAAATAGGCTCAGAGACATACAGAACAAACATGGTTATCAAAGGGGAAAGGAGAGAAGGATAAATTAGGAGTTTGTGATTAGCAGATACAAACTACTATATATAAAATAGATAAACACAAAGGTTTACTGTACAGCACAGGGAACTATATTCAGTACCTTATAATAATCTGTAATGGAAGAGAACATGAAAAATAAAGTATATAATATGAATAATATATATAGTATATATACAGCATAAATAATACATATATTATATATATATATATATATATATATATATACACACACATATATATGAAGAAAGTGTGTTAGTCACTCAGTCATGTCCAACTCTTTGTGACCCCATGGACTATATGTAGCCTGCCAGGCTTCTCAGTCCATGGAATTCTCCAGGCACGAATACTGTGGTGGGTTGCCATTTCCTTCTCCAGGGCATCTTCCTGACCCAGGGATTGAACCTGGATCTCCTGCATTGCAGGCAGATTCTTTACCACCTGAGCCACCAGATAAATAATATATATAATATATATATAACTGATTCATTTTGTTGTACACCTGAAACTAACACATTATAAATCAACTATACATCAGTAAAAATAATTTTTTTAAAGAAAAAATATTTCAAGACTAGGTACAACTCAAGACCAAGGTGCACATTCCAAGCTCTGATAGCAGAATCCAACACTTCCCTGTTGGCAGAAGCCACACTTACTTGCAGATCGTGCAGGCAAAGCAGTTGGGATGGTAGGTCTTGCCCAGGGCGGTCACCACCTCTCCTTCCACGAACTCCCCGCAGCCATGGCATCGAGTGCCATACATCCTCTGGTAGTCCAGGGTGCAGAGATACTCCCCGTTCTTTATGAAGAAGCCCCCTTGGGCCAGGTCACAGCCGCACACTGTGGACAGACAAGTTCACATCTGGTCACAAGCTGCCAAGTTACTGGGCAGCATCGCCTTCTACCACATGCTGCTAACTTACTCTATGATCTCAGCAGTATGGGGTTCGGGGTGGGGAAGACTGGTACAAAGAGCTATTTATTGTTGGGCTCCAAGTTCTCTCTTGCCTCCCTCCCTCTTTGTTTCCCTTCCCTTCGGGAGCTATGCAATATCTCATGCAAGTAAAATCCATTGGCTAGGTCTCAACAGCCTTTGCGATACATCTCAGATTCAGAGATAATCAGTCTTTGATGGAAAGATACCTTTGGGTCATGCTGTCTCTAATAGGAACAAAACTGTCTCTGGCAGAGCTACTTAGGAAAGATAGACACTGCTTGCCCACACAACTGCTTGGTTTGGCCTAAACTGTTACTGAGCTGAGTAATAAATTCCCACTCTACCAAAAGCAGGAGCTGAAATGTCCAGTGTCTATTTTTTCACACTCTGGAAATACTTTCCCATAGTCGTAAAACATTCAGGCGTTTAATTTTTTCTTGGTGCAGCAAATAGGATAAGTCCATTATTTATATATTAAAGAGAGAGATAAAAATGAGCAAGTCAAAGAGGAAAGAAAAGGGAACATGTCCAAGATAAACCTGTTGTTCCTGACATCAGCACATGCAAAAAAGAGACTGCTTTGCCGTGTCTGGATTTTGGCATCTCTTCCAAACCTGCACAGCTGTGGAGTATGGAGACGGTGTGAAAAAGTAGGTCCAGAGACGCCAGGTCTGCATGTTCAGACAAGACCAAAGCAGGACTCAGCAGCTTGTCGAAAAATAAAGCCAAAGGCGGCTCCTGAGAGTAAAGACTTTCCATTGACAAATGACCAGGAAGTAACATCAAAGCTGGAAATCTCTGTTCTTAACCTCTGTATTCCCAGGGTTGGTTGACTCCTATACAATTCAGATCCTGAGGCAAAGAATCCAGGATTCGTCTTGATTATTCCTGCCAGCAGCTGGAATAGGCTTTTATCTGGGGTAAGGATGAACTGAATTCAGTCACTAAATAGTTTTCCTAAGGACCTGCTAGAACATATCCAGGGTTCCTCTGGTAAGTTCTCATGACCCATGAAAGCATCTAGATGAACTAGTGTTGAGCACAGTAAGACTCTGATGGATTCGGATAGAATCTTACACTCCCACCCCAGCTCGCAGTCTCTACTAATTGCAACTACTGAAGATATTCAAGGTGACACAGAAGCTACAACAAGCTTTCCACTGTGGGTTCATCTGTCTGTTTAGGTCCACACTCCTCAGCTATGACCTTCTTCTTTGCAGTTTATACTCAAGTAACCCAAGATGATGGCCTGAGTCCATCATGCTGAAAATGACCATATGAGCTCTGCTGTGATCACATTACCTGGAAGCCAGCTCGTTCACCACCTGCTGCCTCCCTAACTTGCTAGTGCCCCCACTGTTTCCATTCCTGCCTTTTCCTACAATATAAGTCCTGTGGGTCAAGGCACTGAAGTTAGGACTAACCTTGCTCTAATTGCAAATTCCTTCAACAATGATAAACACAATCCTGAGAGTCACAGGACACCTTAGAGATTTTTCTTCAATATCTTTCTATGTATTTTTTAATTTTCACACAAGACTACAAGGCACTTTATGGATAAGAGTCTTCAGCTTTACTTCTTTTGATTTGTAGAAACCTCTAACCACAGAACTTAACGTAAGGCTGGGAGCCAATTTTTTAATTAAACTGAATCCACTTCAAATTTGGCAGATTCCTACCAATTTCACTCCTTAGTGGCATGAAGTAGTTCCTATGACTCAGTTGCTCTTCCAAACTCGGGTCTTTGTCAAAACCATGACAGGTGACAAAATAATGCATTTGGACTGCTAATAATTTCCTTATATTATTTTCCTTGCTAATAATAGTTTCTCCTCCAATCTCCTAAGGCAGACAGAATGTAATAGTTCACAGATCCTTTATAAAAAGCTCTGGTGGCAACAGGGTCATCCTTATGTTCATGCAGATTGTAGGGATGGCTTCAAAGCTAATTCTAAATGTTTTAGAAATCCCTGTACTCACCGCTTCCTTAGGGTATCTTTCCAGGCTTTCTAGTTCACATGGTTTTGTGAAATTGACACATGCTCTCCCTTAATAATAAAGTCTTAGTTTATATGATCATAAAATAGCCTTAAAAGTGATTTTGTAATCACTGTTGAGAGATGGCAAACTACAATCAAACTGTGCCCTTTGCGATTTGATTTGGCTTGGTCCTTAAATTCAAGGCAGTGGCTCAAATGTGATTACCAAACTGTACCATTGTTTCTGGTGGTTTATACCTGAGGAAACTAACATTTGAAAACAGACTCACAGAGGCAAGGGTCATGAAAGGTATACCCAGCAAGTAGTGGGAGGGAAGGTCTATACTGCTCAGACCTAAAAGTACTTAACAACACATACATTTCCAAAGAATGGACTAGTTGAGACGTAATCTCAGACCTTTCCCTCTTTCTCTTCTCCAGGTATACTCGCCTATTCCTCCTCTTGTCACTTCTCAGTCTCCTTGGCCACACCCTTACAGGCAGGTAACTCCCATGGACATTACCTTTTTCCTCCAAAATATAAGGTCTCCCTGGAAACAGAGGGCTTCCCAGGTGGCACTAGCGGTAAAGAACCCCCCTGTCAATGCAGGAGACATAAGAGATGCAAGTTCGATCCCTGTGTCTGGAAGATCCCTTAGAGGAGGGCATGGCAACCCACTCCAGTATTCTTGCCTAGAGAATCCCAAGGACAGAGGAGCCTGGTGGGCTACAGGCCATGGGGTCACAAAGAGTAGGACACAACTTAAGTGACTTAGCATGCACACACACTTTAGAAACAGATCTCATCCACTCTTAGAGTTTCAACTATGACTGTGCAAAGACTCAAATCAGAGTCTATCTGTGACATCTTCCCCAATCAGGGCATACAACTATCTGAACATAGCATCATCCAAATAAACTCTATTCTCTCAGCTTCTCTGCCATTTCTTCTAAAACTCTCTGCTATGCCTTCTTTTAATAAAATGCCATCACTAAGCATTCTCCCACTCTTAAACCCAAATTTTCAACTAGCCACTAAATCCAATGTGTTTTCCCAGGAAAACATTTCTTTGATCCATTCCCTCCTCTGCCTTCTTACCACCTCTACTCAGATCCTGGTCTTTAGTATCTCTTGTACTAAAACAGTTTTATTATAATAGTGTTTGTACTGGCAGAAAAAAAAAAAAAACTTGGGAAAAACTCAACTTTCCATCAGTAGAGCAAGAGTTGGATAAATTATGATATATCCAGTCTATGAAGCTTTTTTTTTTTTAGGAATAGATTAGATCAATATTTGTAACCTAGAGGTCTGTCCATGATAAACTGTTAAACGAGAAAATTTCACAAAGAACTTCAACGATCCCATGTTTCAAAAGTCTACTTACATTTTTACAAACAAGGAAAAGTGAGTTAACATAAACATAGGATTATTGATGGGTTATCTCAGCAGGATGAATAACTATTCACTTTTTATTCACATACTTATGTGTCAGCTCACTTTTAAAAATTATTTAATTTTGCTAAAACACACATAACATAGAATGGACCATCTTAACCATTTTTAAGTGTACAGTTCAGTGACATTTAGCACATTCACCTACTTGTGCAGCCATCATCACCATGTATCCACAGGACATCTTTCATCCTGCAAAACTGAAACTCTAGACCCATAAAACATTAACTCCCTATTCTCCCTCCCTCCCCCAAGCCCCTGGAAACTGCCACTCTAGCTTCTGTCTCTATGAATTTGACTGCCCTTGATGTCTCATATAGGAGAAACTCACTTTATAATATGTTAAGAAAAATTATCAAAAACATGTCCACGAGGTGAAGGAAAGAAGCAGGTTTCTCCAGTGTCATGCTGGAATTTTAATAGCTCACACAGAATTATTTCATGACCCAAGGCACTGGATCTGTGTTTGACAAGATCTTTACCTGGGTTCAATCCCTGGGTTGGAAAGATCCCCTGGAGAAGGGAGAGGCTACCCACTCCAGTATTCTGGCCTGGAGAATTTCAAGGACTGTACAGTCCATGGGGTCACAAAGAGTTGGACACGACTGAGTGACTTTCACTTTCATTTTACTACTAATTAAAAGCCCAGACTTTGAAAGTTAACTGTAACTTGTAGGTTCTTGTCCAGTAGATGTGCAGATGATTTCGGTCCAGGTTTACTATCCTGTTCCCTGTTAGACCGCTAATCAGTTTTATATTTAACCCTGACATCTCATTCTTTCTTTTTCTTTTCTCTTTTGGCCACATCACACGGCATATGGGACCTTAGTTCCCCCAGGGATCGAAGCCACATACCCTGCATTAGAAGAACAGATTTTTAATCACTGAATCGCTAGAGAAGTCCCTGACATCCTTTCTTGAACACCTTTAAACCCATTCCTGTGGTTCTCCTTTGAGTTGGCTTTACATTCTGCTAGTTCCCTCATTAATGAGTTGACTAAATCTCTGGTTAATGCTCATTCTATATTGGTGTGAGAGTCATATATTTAACTTTTTGAAAATTACACTTTGACAAAGTGTAATTAACCAAAAATTAACCAAAAATATCTAAAGGTGAATCATATAAAAATTTTAAAAGGTGGGAGGGATGCGTCCCTGGTGGCTCAGTGATAAAGAATTCTCTGGCTAATGCAAGAGACACAGGTTCAATCCCTGATCCAGGAAGATTCCACACGCCGAGGAGCAGCTAAGCCCATGTGCCACAGCTGATGAGACTGGGAACCACAGCTCCTGAAGCCTGCATGCCCTAGAGCCTCTGCTCCTCAACAGGAGAAGACACAGCAGTGAGAAGCCTGAGCACTGCAACTAGTAGCCCATGCAGCAGTGAAGACCTGGCATGGCCAAAAATAAATTAAAAAAAAATTTTTTAACTAGAGTTTAAAAATAAAAGTCACTGTAAAAAAATGTTTTT